CATACCCCAGTGTAACTAAGCCTAAGTATAATAATAGGCACTTATTTGCAGAAAAATTCTTGCCACTGAGTATCAAGGAAGTTTTGCTAAATAAATTAAGAGAAACTGCAGAGCTGACACAAGCTAGCCATGGAAAGTAACTACTACCCTCGTTACTACTTGTGAACTCAAAATCAAAAAGTGCAGGGTATATAAGCAAACTTTACACAAGTTTAACCTGCTTCTCAAATAATAAGTTAAGGAGCCAGGGCTGTAGCAATGGTGGAAAGGGGGAAACTGAAGAAAACTCCCTTAATTTGAAGCTCTGGGTATTTAAAAGCCTGTAACATTTTACTCTGCAAAAATATAAAGTATGCAAGCAGATTCTACCTAATTGCTCATTAAATAAACAATTTATTTGTTTATTATTAAATAAACAAATAAACTTCCAGTGTTCTTGTCCATGAGCATGAAGGCACCAAGAAGACCCGCAAGCAATATTATTATTATGATGATGATGATTATTATTATTTAAATTTGTTAGTTGCTTTATCTAGCCCAGGGCAACATAAAGCAACATACAGCCAAGCAAACCAAGCAATAGGACACGTGGCCTTTTTTGTTTGTTTCAAACATCAAAATATTCCACAAATATGAGCAAGAGAAATCTCACAATTCCTAAAACCTGCCATAAAAATAGTAATATGATATATCAGGTCCATTTCTTTTTCCTGGTTTGCAGCACTGCCATATACTATCCCCACTCTTGCTTGTTCGATAAACTACCATCACAAAGATCCAAAACTGTGAGTATGCCCAATAGTGAAGTCTTCACCTGCATCCAGTGACCCTAGTCCCAGATGTACAACAACAGAACTGAACACATGGCCAGCGAACAAAAAAATCTGCATTAGACAGGAGGAAAAAAATGGAAAGGGAGGATGATTTAAGGTAAGTGCACTGTGAGTAAATAATGAAACCCAAAACCACAGAAGAGACCATTTTAATACCAGTGTGAAACACACCTGCCATTAGAACAATGCAGTTTGTACAACAATACAGTGTACAACATCTGACACAACATGGCAAATTAGAGCATGGTGCTGAGCACTTTTCAGTAAAAAATATTTAAGAGTGAAAAGTAACATTAATTCCTCCCCAAAATCATAGAAGGGTGAAAGGTGACAGGATGAAAGTCATGTCGCAGCCAAAGTTAATTTCAATATGTCACTGGTTTCAATGGGAAAGTTAAGCATGTGCTTAAAAATACCTGATTTTGAAGTGTTCGCTGGGTGCATTTCACCCAGATTGATTCTGCTAGTAAATCATTCAGTTTTTTTCTTTCATAAAGGATTGAACTTGTATTACATTTCATTAAACTGAGGAACTCTTTCACCTTATCCCTAAACATACTGAAAAACCTGTTCAGCCAGCCGTGCCTTCTATATTATTTGCAGCCTAATCTTCATTATTTTAAAACAAATGTATTGAGATTGGGCAATGTGCTGTCAGAAATGTAAAAGACAAGCATTACAGGCTCTTTTAAGTGCTGTTCATCAGACTTCCCATAGAAATTACATTTAAACCGCTCTGGGTGTTCTTCTTTGTAAAGAAAAACAGGGCATAACTTGACTTTAAAAATAAAAAATAAGCAAATATGAAATGCTCTTTACATGCACTTAGCAATACAGTTCCTTCTTTTTCTTGCTCCAGTTTGGTATTACAAAGAATAAAAAATATGTGCCATGCGATGGCAAAAGTGCTGAAGGTTGCAATTCTACAGGAATAAATAAAGATGTCTTAGTTAGAATATTGGTCCACCCAGTCCAATATTTTCTACACAGGAAGTCATGAATGTGGTTCCTGTGGGCACACAAAGCCTCCAAGCCCCTCGCTGTCTCCTTTGTCCGGAGGTGGTGAGGATGATACCTTTTTCTTGTCAAGTACCTCGGGTTACATACGCTTCAGGTTACAGACTCCACTAACCTAGAAATAGTGCTTCAGGTTAAGAACTTTGCTTCAGGATGAGAACAGAAATTGTGCTCCGGCGGCATGGCAGCAGCAGGAGGCCCCATTAGCTAAAGTGGTGCTTCAGGTTAAGAACGGACCTCCAGAACGAATTAAGTACTTAACCCGAGGTACCACTGTATAGAGCTAAGGGAGGAAGCTGGAAGAGTGGTATTGTTCCCCACTTCTTTCAGCTCTTCTTTCAGATTGGAAAAGAGCACCACTCTTCCAGCTCTATGTGCTTTTCAAGGCTCACATTAACTCTACCGAACTTGACTTTCCCCCAATATCCCTTTGGAAAGTATGGGTGTGTGCATACACTCATTCTTTCTGTATGTCAAGGAGGGGGCTGATTCAGGGGAGGTGGGAAAGAAGCAACCAGCAGAGTATTACCCACGGGACAACCTCAAAAATCTCAATTTGCCCACAGACTAAAAAGGTTAGCAACCCCTGGTTTACACTGACTGCAGTAGTTCTCCAAGGTTTGACACAATGCACTCATCCTGACTGACATGGAGATGACAAGGGTTGAACATGGGACCTTTGCCTACACACTGCCACTGAGTAACCACAGGTATCTGCAAGCAAGACCCCTTGGATAAGGTGCGATTAACTCTTGAATAAACATACAAAGGATTGGTTCCGCTGATTCAAATTGGAGAGTTACGCTTGTCTCAACTCTCCCAAAGAAATGAACAGGGCATAAAAGTGTCCAAGTTTGGTTAGAAATATATTTTAAAAATAAAAAAATTGTTCAGTAGCCTCTAAGTTTTGTTCAGTAGCCAACTAAGTTTGTTCTAGATAGCATCTAGTAGCTAAAGTTAAGCACTTCAAGCAAGGATTGTTTTATATATACTGACCCAGAAAAAAGTCCTATTGATTAATTCAGTGGACTCATTTCCTAGCAGGGGAAGTTTAGAAATGCCGCCTTAACATGTTTAATTCTGTCCCACTGAAATTAATGGGCCTGAAAAATGCTTTAACTTTGCATTGTGCTAATGCATATGACTAATGGGTACAAGGTGACCTATTACAGTCCACAGTAAAAGACACCTCCACAGTTACCTCAGGTAAATTAGTTACACCATAACACACTTTATATTTGCAAGATTAGATTAATTGAACAGAGGTAAAAGACACATCTCTTCTTGTTCTTACAAGGCATACTGTGGGGCTGTTGTTACAATCTATGCTACCGGGTTCTTTTTCCTTTGTTATTTTATCTCAAACGGACTAAAAAAATCAATAACACAGATTGAATTCCCGGATCCATTCAACAATTCCGGAAGAGTGGGAAAGCCGGTACTTTTACCTCCTCTCTCCAAACAACTTTCAAACACCTCTTAGGAGCAGGTGTGACAAGAAATAAGGGGGTGTTAGGAGATAGAATAGCTATCCTTTCCACTGGGTATCCACTTCTTTACTTCCGACTTCTTGCCTGCTAATTCCTCTGTTACAGATTTAGCATTGTGTAGACATACCTTACACCTGTTGATCATTCCATGACCACAGCAAAAAGCACATTTCGCTTCTAATCCAATAAACTAAACTTGTGAGGAATCTTGAAACTACTTTGCCTTTCCTTAAAAAAAAAGAAAAAGTGTCATGTGTCTGTGGCTCTTTGATTCCTGGCTTGACTTCCCTTCGTCTTTCTCTGGAGCTTGACTGACGGAAAAACTGAATAGAGAATTTCCCTCTGCCTCCCCAACACAAGCATCTTCCTCATACGAGCCAGTCCTTGAACCCTTCAGCGGTTGAAACCATTGCTACTCCTCTGGGGGGAACTTCCCCCGCTCCATTCATCCTTTGTCTAATTACGCAGCCCAAATAATACGCTCCTTTTTTTTTAAAAAAAAGACAAGACTCCTCCCCCCGCACAGATGGCAAACTTGTATGAGCAACTCGCTCTTTTTGCCTACGGTGCCTCCCTGACCCACCTCCTTGCCCCGACGGCAGCTGGCGGCGTCTGGAGGACGACAAAGCAGCGTGTGCCCCTTCTCTCACCTCAGTCGCTCCAGCAACTTGCCCTGACCGTCGCCCGCCTCGGGGTCCCAACGAGGCGTCTGCTTGAGGCGGGAGTTTCCCTCGCCGCCTCTTCCCTCTGTTTGGGCGCCTAGCAGTCTCTCCCCACCGCCACCCCGCCCTGCGCGCGACCCCTTTCAAGAAGCAGACACGCACCTGCGTCTGCCCGGTTCCAGCGCCCTGAGCAGAAACTTGGTCCTTCTTTCTCCTCCTTCGCCCCTCGCCGCTCTGTGGTGTGGAGGCACCCGGGCGCTTTGAAGTGGAGGCGAAAAGGCGCGGCGCAGCAGTGGAAGCGGCAGCGAGGGGAGGGGAAGGAGGGGAGGCGCGGGCGGGAGGAGGAAACTGGAGAGCCGGAGACGACGCGGGGCAGTCCTAGCCGTCAGGACGGGGTGGGTGTTCGTGTCAGGGTGCTGCTTGTGGTGGTGGGCGCACGTCTTTCCCTCCTCGAACTTTCTAATGTAAACCGACAAAACTAGTCAGAATGAAGCAGAGAGGATGATGCTGCCCGGCTTGACCATCTGTCCCCTCACCCCGTGTTGCCCACTCTGACTGGCAGCAGCTCTTCGGGGTCCCAGCCAGAGAGAGGTCTTCCTTCCAAGTCACCTGCTGCTGCTACCTTTGCCAAGTGGAGATACAAGTCGAGGAGACAGAACTACTAAGCTGAAAACTTTACACATAGTTTGACATACCACAGGCCTCTTAGTGGCTTGATTTAGGTGCACCACAGCTTCCCATACTAAATTGCGGAGGAACACAGTGGAAATGATGTCAACTGCATGGTGCCACTAGAGAATGGCTGTTATATGGCCACTTGTGCAGGGAAAGAGCTGGGGATGCCTATAGGTGCTTCCATGGAGAACTATGGGAGCCCCTTGACCATCAGTGTTTTAAATAAAGGATTCACGTGTGTGCTGGAACTTTAGGTTTTGCAGTATTAAGGTGGATTAAAGCGCTCTGTGGGCCTAGTGCAGCAAATCCACTTCTTAAAAATGTATGGGCTTCTCGCCGTTTGGACCATGATGAGGAAATGCATTGCAAAGTTTGGGAAGGACAGATGATGAATGGGAAAACATGCAAATATCCTGACAATAAGGAGATCAGGGTAAGTGCAGAATGAATGCTCGTAAACAAATCATAACGAATGTTCAATAAAAAGCAGACATAGTCTAGCCACTGCATAAGCTTTGAGCAAGCAAAGGAGAATTAATGTGGAGTGGAGGAGCTATATCTCTCTGTCACTTGCCACATCCGTCTCCTCCTCTCCAGTTTGAATCTTTTTTTGTATTTCCTCCTCCCAATTAATTTTCTTTGTGTCATGTCTTTTTAAGAGTGTAGGCCCGAGGGCAGGGACTGTTAAGTTTTGTGATCTGGAAGCTACTCAGAGAGCCTTTTCTGATTAACCTTAATTATTTTCTTTTCCTTTTAGGTGACTTTTGCTTCATTTCAGGTGACAGCAGTTTTGCAATGAAAAAAGTAAGTAACCCACTTATTTCACATCACAGTCTTCTGACATACAGCAGTGTCGGGAAAGTTCAGCCCCAGGGGCCAAATGCAGCCCTCCGGGCCAATCTCCCTAGCTCTCTCAGAACTCTTCTCCAGCCACACAGCCACTACTAGCCATGCTTCAAGCTCTCCCTGAGCATTTTTGTCTGCCTGGAATGCATCCGTCAATCCTGATGATGCTTCCCTGGATGGAGGATAGAGAGCAGTGTCCTAGGTGAATGTGCGTACAAAGGTAAAATTTGCATTCATCACTCCACCAACTTTTGCCTCTGGCCCCACCCATCACTGCCACATGCCCCCTGGCCCCAAAGGTTGTGCCGGAGGGACTGTTGCCCTTCAGTTGAACAATATATCCCTCCCCTACAGCATGCTGTGTCCTATTCAACTGCCCCCTTTGTTTTATAGACACACACTTGCTGCTCTTATTTTAGATTATCACATTAGGTCTGTCCTGTTACACACATAGGGACACGGGTGGCACTGTGGGATAAACCACAGAGCCTAGGGCTTGCTGATCAGAAGGTCGGCGGTTCAGATCCCAACCATGGGGTGAGCTCCTGGTCCCAGTTCCTGCCAACCTAGCAGTTCGAAAGCACGTCAGAGTGCAAGTAGATAAGTAGGTACCTCTCTGGCGGGAAGGTAAACGGCATTTCTGAGCGCTGCTGTGGTTCGCCAGATGTGCCTTAGTCACGCTGGCCACATGACCCGGAAGCTGTCTGCGGACAAACGCGAGCTGCCTCGGCCAGTAAAGCGAGATGACCACTGCAACCCCAGAGTCGTCCACAACTGGTCCTAATGGTCAGGGGTCCGTTTACCTTTATTACACACATAGATGTGCTTGTGGAGCTTAGCTAGTTGGGAATCAGCATTTGTCCTTGTGGTTTTTATCTAGGTATGATGTTAGAACTGCAGCCTCCAAACTACTAATGCCAGATGAATGTCAGTGATGTGATGCAAAGACTGCAAAGGAGGTAGATAATGGAGAGCCTTAAAATTTTCTTAAAGACAGCTCTGTGCAATCACATGCATGTGTGTTGTCATGTGTGGTGGGAATCTAAACCACTCGTTTTAGTTTTGTAATCTGTGCCATTGGTTTCTCTGATATATGTAATTTATTGTTGTGAGAGTTCAGTCAAAGAATAGTGGAACCAAGTTGCAATCGCGTGCATATTTACCTGGGAGTAAGCCCAGTTGAACACAGTGGGATCTGCTGTATATATTGGATTGTACTGTTTCACACATTTCAACTGTGAAAACTCATTTTGGTATGTTATGAAGATACAAGCAAAGAAAGTTTGTTAAATAATAATACATTTCAAAACATAGAAGCCAACTCCTAGAGTCTGAGGTCCCTTCGGCCCCACCAATAAAATATTTGAGGGGGCAAAGCACCCCCAAAAATTGATAGGCATTGCCATTCAAATAGTGTGCACACACCATGTCTTGTGATCGATCATGTGGGGAAGAGCTTACCTGCCCCCCATATTTATTCAAGTTGGCACTCCTGTTTCAAAGTGAGGAGAAAAGGATCATTTTAGTACTCACTGTAAACCCCGCTCCCTCTCAAATATGAAGCAACAATAATCAAACAAGTTTGCCCAAGAGAGCTCCGTAGAGTACTCTGCAGAGTAGGCACTTCAGAGTAGAGTACTCTGCAGAGTAGGCACTTCAAGGAGAATGGCCTAATGATCATCTTCAAATGACCAGTTTAGTCCTGGTGATCCTAAAACTGCCCTGGAACCAATGTGCTAGTGCTGCAGTGACTAACCCAAAGATAATAAGGTGATATTGTAAACCTTTCTGGGGATGTGTATGGTAAGGGTAATATCTTACACTGATGACTAGAGGCAAAGAACATTATTAGTGTGAGCTGCAATTCACATAAACCAGAAAATTTGTATATAAAGCAGATTAACAACACAATTCAACAATCCAAGTAAGTTTTACTCAGTGTAGACCTATTGAATTAGTCATGTTCATTAATGCCAGTGGGTCCACTCGGTGTAAAACATAATTAAGTATCACCCAATAAGCAGTTTATATACAGACATTCTATGTTAAGTGCATTTCAAATCACAATGGCCTATAAACATAATGCTTTGCATGTTTCCTGGTACAGATGTACACAAACCTCAAGATCAAAGGCAATTCACATCACTACTTTTTGCATATTGGTCACAATGTGGTTTTTGTGTTGTTGCTTTTAAAAATGACTTAAGTTCCTTAAAAAAAACAAAAAACTTTTATACATACGGTGACCTCTTTGTTGTTCAAACTGTGTTTCATAGTTTTTCAAAGACATGATAATAAACCCATTGGTCCAGTTTGGATGTAATATTTAACCTTTTGTTTTGCAAAAGAAAAAGAAATGTGTAATTCACAGAGCAATTGAGCTGTTCTGCTTTCTTAGGAAGTGTTCCTGATAACCTGAAAGTTATAGCAGTTCTAAAGAAAAAAAAAACTTCTACATAATCACTAATTGTGTCACAACACATCCACAGTGCTACTTGCCATTTAGCTAAGGATGGTCGGGGTTTCTTGGTGTACTGGCCTTAGTATTTTGTGAAACATTCAGGAGCTGTGATGCTATGGATTCAGCAGGTCAGTAGACTAAGAGCACCATGTGAGGGGCTATTTTAATTAGGGTTAAAGTGACCCTAATAGGTCCTTTAGGGCAGATGATACTCTGCACAGCATTTTCTTCCAGGAAAATTTCTTTCCCTTCTTGTTCTTTCTTACAAAGTGTGAAGCTAAATCTTGTCCTTCTGGACAGAAGTTTAAATTCTGCAAATTAAATTAAATTTGCAAATTATTTAAATTCTGCAAATTCTGCAAATTAAATTAAATTTGCAGATTAAAAAATACTTACTTTTGCTAATACACCATCATATGTTTATATTCAGATTACAGTTATAGAGGACAGGATCCTTTTGTGCTCTTTCAACCATCCTGCTGCTCAAGGCTGAGATGAGTATTCCATTGGGTCCCCACACACAACCCCAAGTTCTGAATGGGCAGAAGAGCCAATTCTCAGGTAATGTTCTCAGTGAAAGCAACACCCGAACCATGTAGAAGGGCAACTGTTATTCTCTGACAAGCAGCACTGTGTGTAGCAGCACTGTGTGTATTGCAAGGATTAATCAAGAAGGATTAATCAAGTAAAATTGTTGTAAGCATGGCACAAGTCCAAAGTATGAGAAAAGGCCATCAATGTCACAACTGGTCATGCCCAGGAAAGTCTCCAAACCTCATTCACACACATACCCCTCTTGAGACCTAGCACCAGAAAACTTAGCTAAGTGTATATCCTATGTAAAGAACTTAAAAGTGTAAAATAGGAGTTATCCATAGCCTGCCATTTTGTAGAATGATTAAGAAAAGTTTGGTAAAATTGTGAGTTGCTGTGGACATTTCAGGGTGCTGTGATGAAAACTGGTTGGGTTTTTAAAAAAAATAAAAATTGAGGCAACTAACTTGAACTGAATCAGCCCTAAGATATAAAACAACAGCAGCCCATCATTCTGTTTTGATTGATTTTGAAGTCCTCTTCAGCCTTTCAGGCCCCATGGATGCCAAACACAAAAAGGGGTTATTGAAAATGTGCAGGCTAGTCCCATTCCCTAGATGCTGACACAATCTCCTGGCCAACACATGATCAAGAGAAGGTTTTGCTTCAATTGCCATATTCTATGTATATACGTACCACGTGTGTAGATATGAATCCACTTAGATTCATAGCTGTAGTTTTGTCTCTAGTCTACTGAGCTAGGAAAGAAGGCAGGCAGCATCAGGAGAGGTAGGTAAGAGGCCCAACCCTGGCATAGCTAATATAATGGGAAACCCAGATGGGCGGGGGTATAAATTTCTTAATCATCATCATCATCTCTTTGACCTGTCCACCTGTACCATAAATCCCTGTTGCCTGTGGCACAACCTGGCTGCCCATGTCACAGAACAGAATTCTTACAATACAGTCCCTCTCATAGCATAAACTTTATTGATGTCGTGTAAAAATCCAGAAAGAGAGAAACAAGTGTCCAGTGGAGTCTTGATGAATAATAAGAAGGAGGAAAACTTTAAGCAAGTAACCTTCTGACTAACAAAATACCCTGCATTAAAGCTAGTTGTCAAAAGTGCGAGAAATCCACACTTTCCAAGACAAAAGCTAAAGTCTAGTAATTTCTCTTGGCTACAGTAGAGTAAATCTTTAGAACTGGGCGGTGTCCAGTGGAATTACTGGAGTGAAACCAGACATGGTTTGTCATCAGATTCCAGGTTTTGGAATGACAGTACTTCAGTACATGATCTCTCTGCAAGTGAAGCAGATCTAGAAACAGTAGTTCATATCTAAATCAGAACCTGAAACTGAATGCTATTTAACTTTTATCTAAAAATATAGCGTGTGCATTTTGTCTGAAACAGACCGTGTAAATAAGAAATGACATCGTATTAGGTTTCTAACATTTTCTAGAAAACATCCAAAAAAATATAACAACTTATTTTTTCAATGCGTGAAACATTGGCCGTGGAAAGCACAATGTGCTTTACAACCATCTAAATATTTTCTCTCTATAATCTATGCAGTAAAGCACAGTAAAATTACAGTCCCAAACCTATTGATTAATAGTCAAATTTATAATTGTTTGCATTTTAAAGTAGATGATATATGCAGTCTGATGTGTAATTAGTACTGCAAAGAAGCATTCTGTTTCAGTTCTTACGTTAAGTAGCAAATTTATGTTTCGGATGGGTTGCTGCAGTGACTGCTGCAAAGGCTGAACCGGCACAACTAGCATGAACTGATATTTCTGTGCTATGAAAATTGCTAAGTCTTCGTGTGTGTGTGTGTGTGTGTGTGTGTGTGTGTGTGTTTGGGAAAATATCCACCTGTTCTCTATGCATTCAAATGCCTCTTGAGATATTGTCACCAAACTTAGCATGGCGGTTCTCAAAACAGAGGAGGCAATTTTTATCTATTTTTTAATATGGGTGCCATTTTGAATCATGTTGGCAGACCAAAATGTTCTAAATTGGAAGTCTCTGAAGTTATCTTCACCCAGTTTGGCATTATGGTTTCAAAATGTGCTGATTTGGACACTCGGGCATGACGGAAAAGTGGGTTTTTGGCCTGGGTTGGATGCTGTCAGATGATATTTTGAATCAAGATGGTGCACAAAACTGTTCCAAACTGCAGTGCTTTTAACCAAATTTGAAAAGAAAGAAATAGGACTGTGCATAGGATACAGCCAAAGTTCAAAGCCCGAACCAGATCAGGCCAAACTGGGCAGATCTATGTTTCATCCAAATCACGTTGAGACAGCTGCTGGGGGCAGAGCATAGCACAGGAAGGAGGAGTGGCACAGCCCCACACTGTGCTTTGGCTGCATGTGCCTGTTCCTAGCAGAAGAGCACACACATGTAATCAAACTGAGCAGGACTGAACCCTCCGTTGAAATCCTGTTGACTGAGGAGGTCTGGTTCACCAATGTTATGCACAAGGAAAGTACTAGGAAAGCAGATTCCAGCAAGAATGAAAATGGGGTGGCCAAGATTGCAGAGATTCTAAGGTGGGAAGACAAGACCCAACCCTGGGACTAGGGTAGGGGGTAGGGAAGTGACTTGCAAGGGAAGGAGAGAAGAACTGGCTACCACCCCACACAAGTACTTCTGATTATGTAGAGTGCACTTTCCCTTCATCAATGGGCAGCCAGCAACATGTCACTATAAAGTGATATTTGAGGGAACTGCTCCCGTTTGAGATTATATGATTGCCAGCAAGCTTGATCACCCACCCCACCCTAAGATCTCATAGGAGTGAGGGATTTTGAGTAAGTTCACAACTTCAGTTTAAGTAGGTCATCATATTAGTGATAACTTAACCTACCACATCATAGGCTTATCACATCCCACATTTGTGTCTGACTGTTGAGTAATTATCTGATATGACTCC